GACCTATCTCTGGCCTCACTCCCACCTCCATCACAGTAAGCATTCAGCATCACCCTCCTCAAAACATTAGTTTCTGCCAACCTCTTCCCCTGAAGTGCCCCCTCCTCAATAAGCATTCACTCAAGGTGAAAAATTAAGTCTCACTATGCAACCATTGTGCCAAGAGAATTTTCCAATCCCCATCTTGCAACAGCTTTTAATCCTCTCATATGCAGACATTCCAGAGCAGCTACCGCCTCCCCGCTGGTGCCAGAGTGGCTTCTTCCTAAGGAGGACAGAATTCTGGGTCTCACTTGTTTACACCCCTTCACAGCCTCCCCATTGTCTCCTTCAGTGTCTTCTTACCTTATTTGTCATGGCCTCAAAAGATCTCCATTTTGTTCCTATTGTAACAGGGTGGTCCCCAGGAAAGAAGGAGGTTCCAGGTTTCCTGCCCCACCCAAAAGGAGGGTGGAGGTGAGCAGGTAGATAAGGGGCTGCAGAGGAGACTGAGAAGGAAGGAAGCAGGTGGAGAGCCAGAAGGAGACCTGGAGGAGGCACATGGAGCCAAGAGACACGTGAAGAAACTACACTTGCCTTCTGGTTGTGGACTGTGTGAAACAGATGTGGGTGAGACTCGTGGGGAGAATAACAATGGTGCTTTTTGTCTTGATTTTGATTTTGCTCTTTTCCTCCCAGACTTATCTGGTTGTTTCTGACACTTCTCTGTGGATCCCCACTGGAAGATGCTTTAGAGTTGTGGCAGGCTTTGGGGCCTTGCTCTGGGCCAATCCCACTTCGGTGGACTTTTACCCACGAGGGGACAAGTAACTTTGGGTGCTTGATTTAGAAATATATTAAACAAATATATATTCTTTACCTTTCCTGTATTGTTTATTAATTGTATTAAAGTTCCTTTTCATTAAAGTGTCATATGTTTTTGTGTTGATGTGCACATGGCAGAACCTATTTAGAGCAGGCAGGTTTGCAGGGTCTGGAGGGCCCCTCTTCCTTCCCTGTAACACTATCTCTACCCCCCTCTTTCATGCTTCCCACTTAGGTTCCTGAAACATGGAGCTAATTATAATTCCCTAAATAATCCAGGTCATGAGGGCTAGGATTTATCATTCACCTAGCACAATATCCAGCCTGTACAAAGCACTTAAGTGCTGGATGAATATTTATATTGACATCATAGTCTGTCTCAATTCCATGTGTTAAGAAAATGATTCCACATCAGCTTCAAATGTCTAGAAAGCAGCAATTTATCCTATTGTATTGATGAGACATCTATTTCATGCCTATTACAGTTTATGAAACAAGCAGCCCTTCATTAAATACTAAGTGGGTGGATGGATGGGTGGGTAGGTGGGTGGATGTAACTGATAGATGATAAGAGAAGATAAATGACATTAGGAAATGTCTCCCTCTGATGATGAGGTTCTTTGAGTGCAGAGAACATGTCCTAATTCATCTTTGTATTTTTGGTGTTCAGAGCATAGTCAAATGTAGAGTGTTCAACAAAAATGTGAAGAATAAATAAATGTCAATCACATGGATTATATAAATAGTATTTCCTTGTGAACTTTGGTTCAACATTTATTTTTCTAATTTAAAAAATGTTATTGACTTACAATGCAATACATTTGTATTGGAATTTGGGGGGTACACTTCACCCCTCTGTGTGTTTAAGTTTCAACTCACCCACCGCCAAAGTTCTAGTGCCATTTCCACTACCAAGTTGACTTGGCTTAATGTTTAGATACACAGGGCCTCCCCGGTGGTGCAGCGGTTGAGCGCTGGGCTGCAAAGCTGCCTGCAGCCTCTGCAGCACCAGTTCGATCCCCAGTTGCCAGCGAGGGTCCCCCATGGTACACAGACCTCTCCTGCCACCTGCTGCTCCCCTTAGCAGTGTATTTCGTCAGTCTGCCTGTTCTGCTCCCCGCTCTGGCTCTGGTGATTTCTCTCACCCTCCCACGCTTCTGACTGTACTCAGTGCTTGTATAAATAAATAAATAAATCTTTTTAAAAAAGTGTTTAGATACACAGTTTAGATAAATATCTTATGTGAAAGCCAACTAGAAAGATAAATCATGTCTCAGATATAAGGAATGTATATAAAGGTCTAACTACAAAAAGTGTCAATTTTAACAAGAATTTTCAGTAACACAAAATCTAAGCCACAAGTTCAGGTGGGTGTCCTTTGCAGCTTTTTCACCATTACTATCAAATCCTGGGGCTAAGTATCAGATCAATTGGAACTTCAGCTGCAGGTGGTAAGTCTCCCTCAAAGTGGCCATAAAGTTGCCCTGCTGGCACAGCCTGTCCTAAGTTGGCAATTAGTTGCCCTAACCAATTCTTTATTTTCCCAAGGCTCATAAAGCCATTGGCAGAAGCTTGCTTATCCCATAATCTATAAAATCGCCACTGCCTGCACACTGCCACGCTATTCACTGCAGTCGCTGCTGCACACCTCCCTTTCTTCTCCCACATGTGCCTCACCTCAATTGACAGTGGATAAAATCCATAGGAATGTGATGTCCCTGGGTGCTGTTCCTTTATGATATCTGCCTCTGGTATCATATTCAAATTACCTTTGTCCTTTCCTATGCCTTCATTGCATGACGATCCTGTATCTTCATTGAGAGCTTTATAGTTGAATGGTGTGAGTTAAGGATCTAACTTCAGTTTTTCCTCAGGGATTACCCAGAGGTCTCAACAAGGAATGCAGCAAATGTCTAGTCTTTCTCCACTAGTGTAGGGTAAGGAAAAACGTCAGGCTTTTCTGCCCTCCTGCCATCAGGATAGATGATGGATCCTTGAGGTCCTGAATGAATGCCTGATGGTGGGCACCTGGAGTAGGGTGTGGGCAGAGGTAGATGGGATTCACCTGGGCTAAGACTGTGCTTTTTAAGGGTGGCATCACGGGGACGCCAGCAGCAGCAGAAGCCGAAAGAGAAGCCAAGAGAGAAGCAGAAGCAGAAGCAGAAGCAGAAGCAGAAGCAGAAGCAGAAGCAGAAGCAGAGAACACCAGAGAGCCCAGATAGAGTGAGGATTTGCTGGGGGTTGGGAGGACTGCCAGCCTCCCAGACCCCCAGCACCCCTGCCTGCCATATGCCTGGTGAACTCCAATAAAAGACCTTCAAAAACCCATTAAGGACTCTGATTCCTCCTTTACCCAGTCTGCTGGATCAGAAAACTGCACTGGTCCAGTCCTGCCCCTTTAAAATTGGCGTAAGTCAGCAAGATGATCCATGTAGACAGGCATTGGAGCCCTCCGAAGACCTGGAGGGAATAAGGAGTAACAGACTGTGTTTGACTGTGACGATGCTGGAGGTGCCATGGTGGCACAGAAGGTGGACACCGTCCGGGAGCTGCTGGACGAGACCTCAGCTGGAGGAGGAGATATCCGAGAGGACCAGCCAGTGACCCCTGAGGCAGCAGAATCATCAGCGAAAAGAGGACCATGATTCGGAGCTCGCCAGTGCTGATGCAGGGAGAGGCCTGATGGACTTGGACTAATGGAGTTGGACTGACAATCCCGCCAGAAGGCGGAGGAACTTGCAGGTTAATATGTTTTTGGAACCCTGGGGGTGGAACAGTTTCGTTTGTAAACCCCAGGAGATGGGAATCTGGGGGTGGCCAGTAGGCCTTGGTGGCCAAAAGCAGCCTGTGTATGCCCAGCAGTCAGGCAGAGGAGAAAAGCCAACTGAGAAGGCAAAAGCTGGTGCTGATGCTAAGTTTGGGAAGCCTTGAGCGGCTGTTAAGCAGCCTGTGAGTCTCGTAAAATCACCTGTGGGGGATGTCCTGCTGGTTGTCGAGAGAGGGTGAGGAGCTGAGGAACCCGTCCTTGGGGGACGGGTGGGGAACGTGTCTTGGGGTGGGGCCCAAGCCGCATGTAGAGTTTGGATCCCCGACCCATGTGCTTGTGCAGTGGGTTGGCCTGAGTGCAGGGGTCTGCGAGTCGCATGGGTGGCCACGAAGGCCGAGTGTTGGAGCGACTGCAGACAGAAACCCTGAGGGTTGGCGGTTACCCCCAACAGAATAGAATCGCCAGTCCCAGAGCTAGAGCATCCTGGGGGTGGATGCTGTGTGTGGCTTGTAGCCGAGACTACAGCTAGAGAAGGCCAGGAAGCCTGACAGCTCCTGGTGTGATACAGTAGATGCCGTGAGTGATTCCCCTCCCTCGTATGAGCAGTGCCTTCGGCAGCAGATTTGGTGGCTCATCTGCTGGTACCAATAATAGTCTTTTGCACTAGGTTAGGGCCCTGCCTGGACTTATTTGTGTCCTGTTGTATTTTGTTATATTGTGATGTATTTGCTTTTGTGGGCCACGGCTGCATTGTTTATGTTTGCTAAATTATATATATGTAGATTATATGGCAGAAAACCCTGAGGGGGTGGGCTGTAGGGTAAGGAAAAATGTCAGGCTTTTCTGCCCTCCTGCCATCAGGATAGATGATGGATCCTTGAGGTCCTGAATGCATGCCTGATGGCGGGCACCTGGAGTAGGGTGTGGGCAGAGGTAGATGGGATTCACCTGGGCTAAGACTGTGCTTTTAAGGGCGGCGTCATGAGGATGCCAGTAGAAGCCAAGAACGAACAGAAGTCGAAGAGAAGCCAAGAAGCCGAGAAAGAAGTAGCAGAAGCTGAGAGAGAAGCAGAGAACGCCGGAGAGTCCAGATAGAGTGAAGACTTGCTGGGGGCTGGGAGGCCTGCCAGCCTCCCGGCCCCCCAGCACCCCTGCCTGCCATATGCCTGGTGAACCCCAATAAAAGACCTGCAAAAAGCCACTGAGGCCTCTGACTTCTCCTTTACCCGGTCTGCTGGATCAGAAAACCTGCACTGTGGTCTATTCCTGACCCTACACAAGTAACCAGACTGTAGTTAAAATACAGCTGTGTCTTCTAGCAATAAAACCAAAACCTTTAGCAGCTCAGTAAAGAAAGGAAAAAAAAAGAAAAACCCACATCCTTTGTGTTTTATTATATATTTCTAATGCCAGTTATGAAAATAACTGTTCTTGCGTGGGGGAGAGGAACCATGAACATTCTTTTTCCTTTCTCGTTCCCTACTGCGTTTCTCCTGTTTGCTGGAGGTAAGGCATAGTTCTATACGTTTGTTTTGCTCATGAGAAAATGGGATATTCTAAAATGGTGTAATTTATGTTTGATATTAAATAAAGAAGGAAAAAGAAAACATAACTTAATTTCCAATAATTTAAAATGTTATCATTTGTCTTTGCTTTCCAAAGGGCATATTGGCTTTTGACGATGAAAACATACCTTATATGTCTATGGCAATACTATGAAAGTGTCGATCTTAAAAAGAATTTTTAGTAATGGTGATTCTCATAAATTCAGGCAAGATTTACAGAGCAAAACCATCACGTGAAAAACTGACAAGGCAATTAAATACAATTGAATAGTGATAACTCTCAAATATTAGAACTTTTGGTTTCAGAATGTGTTTGTATCTATTTCTGGTGGTAGGGGTGATGAAGAAAGCAATAACATCAGTGTAGTAATCCAAGGGAGATATATATAAACATATGTCAACATTTAATAAAACATAAGCATAGCAATATTTTAAGTGTTATACATATATTAACTCATTGTTATCAGCCTCATTTTACATATGAGAAAACTAACACAGATTTAAGTAAACTTATAAAGTCATCAGCTAGTGAATAGTCGGGCTAGGATTTGAACCCAGAGTTTATATTCTTAACATAAACAACAAGATATTATGATTTCTGGTCTCTCAAAGATAACTTCATAGCTATGATTCTTTTTTTTTTTTTTTCAACTTTATTTTTTTATTTTTTTTTACTGTTTTAACCACTTTTTTTTTTAATAATAAATTTTATTTTTATATTCCCCATACATTTGCAACCCCCCCATTCTGACCCCAATCCCTCCCCTCCTGCCCCCCACTCCCGAAAAACTGTCTCTGGTTCATAGTTTTTTGTTGATTTTGATTTTCACTTTCTTATAGTTATTCATTTTCCTGGTCCCTTATTTAAGTTCTCTAGATTCCTGCTATGAGTGATAGCTATGATTCTTAAACCGAAAACTATGCGTTCCTCCAAGGCCATGGATGGGCATCAAGAAGTTTGTGAATCTCCAAAAAGTATATGCAAATATATATGTACATATGTATCTATATTTTATCAGATCATCAAATGACCCTATATTTAAAAAATTAAAAAGGTAGAAAACCAGTACTTTGGAAAAATAGAGCTTCACAATGGAAAGGATGTGGTTTTTAAATGATGTGAAATTGGGGTAGAACACTCTTTTGTCACTTATTAGTTGTGTGAACTTGGACAGGGTCATTGCACTGTCTAAAGTTCTAACTTGCACTGTAATGAATATCACTTTCTGGAACTAATCATAGATATTTTTGTTCTGCTTATTACTATAGTTTTACTATATTTTAACATAACTTAGTAAACTATCATTCAAATAATAATCTCCCCATGGAATTGTGAGACTTTTTTTTAAAAAAGATTTATTTATTCATTTATACAAGCACTGGGTACAGTCAGAAGCGCGGGAGGGTGAGAGAATTCACCAGAGCCAGAGCGGAGAACAGAATAAGCAGACCGTCGAAGTACACTGCTGAGGGGAGCAGCGGGTGGCAGGAGAGGTCCCTTGCCCGGCAGCCGGGGATCAAACCGGTGCTGCAGAGGCTGGGAGTGACAGACAAGAGAAGGGATTTCTCCCCATTCTGCTCTTAGGTGTGATATTGGATAAATCTTTAATCTTTGTGTTTCTTGAGAGACTATTCCTTGACAATTTCTACCTCAGAATACCTTGGATAGAACCAACTGTACCAAGGAAAGAAATTATTTCAGGTATTAATGCAAAGGTACCTTTATTTACACAGGAACATATATATAAACTAAAAAGGAATTTTTCATCTAGAAAATCTAAGTAGGCTCTCACTATACTGGCCTCTGACTCATAGGGTGGAGAATAGTCCTCATGCAAACTGAAGAACAGAAAGTTTGGGTACCAGAATCAAATCATGAGTCTCCTGCTGAGACATTGCAGCCCTGGCCATGCCCTCTAGACTGCTCACACAGTGCCTCTGGCCATCTAGTCACGTCTCTGGTGGAATGACTAGATTGTCAAGTGCCTTCTGCTAGTCATGCCTGCCCAAGTAGGTAAAAATAGATAACTCACTGCTTTTCCAGACTTGGCCCAGGCCTCATAAATCCCAGAACTGCTCTGAGAACAACCTGCATTAGAATCACATGGGGTGTTTATTTGGAATGCAGGTTCCCAGGTTCCCCTCCAGGATTCTGAACCAGAGTTTCTGCAGGTTCACCCAGAGAAATGGCACATTAAGTTCTGTGACTGATTATTAGGACACTAAAATTATATGTCACTGACATCATTTTTGCCCTACCAATTTCAAAGGGAGAAATTAATTTAGACATGACAGGCAGGGAAAAATAACAAAAGTCTAATATAATAGAAATATCTATTTACAGTAGAACTTGCCCTGACAGTGAGTACTCAATTCATCATGAAGAAACGCTATCACATGAGTGAGTGTTGCAGGGAACATAGACAAGAGAGCTGCAGGTCAACAGCACCAACCGGGGCACCATCTGGGTTGCTTTGATCTGCTCTTCCCTGCAGACTGAGTGTCTACATACTCGTGCTAAATCTGCTCAGCTTTCTCAGCGTGAAATGTGACTAGATAAAATTTGATTTCACTCTGGATCACTCTTAGTTTTTCCAGATTCCTGCGAGGGAATTATTGGAGGAAATGCAGTACAGCCTCATACCAGACCCTACATGGCTCTCATCAAAGGGCTGAAAATCTGTGCAGGGACTTTGATCGATGAGCACTGGGTGCTGACAGCTGCCCACTGTGACATGTAAGTAATTCTGAGCTCCCCTGATTCTCAAGGTGGTTTGACTCAGAGAGGGGGGTGAAAATGACTCTGAAGTCCAAAAGCAAATTAAGGAGACAAAATGAGCAAGCACAGTCAATGTCATGTTCTGTTACAATATTTCCTCTATAAGCAAAGGCCAGATCCTATAGAATAAGATTGACATGCATAGCCGTTTTCTCGTGTGTTTTAAAAGGCTTTCACTCTAAATTGGGATATTATTAAAATTTTTAAAAATGGGAAAGGTGAAAAATAGCAGTCATAATCTCATTAACCTCAGAGCAACCACTGTTAATATTTTGCTATATTCTGTTGCAAAAATTTTAAGTATATTTTACATAGTCAAACAAAGTGGCTACTAGGATTACAAGCAAATTACTAGCTACTATAGAAGTAGTGTTATCCTACATTATTACATATTACATTGAACCACAAGAAATTATTGGTATTTGATTGTCAGACTTCAAAAAATAGCTATTTCCTATGGTCCAAACTAATATTTTCCTAACTGTGGTTTGACTGTTATACGTCCATAATATTTATCATGTGAATATGATGCTATTTTCTCAGTCAATACCTCTCATTGGGAACCATTACCTGTTATTTCCCTCTTCCTTTTCCCCTAATTGAAAGAAAAAAAAAAAAAGATTTAAAAACTATCTTCTCACAGAGAAGATTCAAATAATAGTGTTGTATAAACTGAGAACTTGTCAAGTAGAAACTTCAGCATAATGAATACTGGAAATAAAGCTAGCCATTAGCACGCTTGATTAATAGGCCCACTTGGTGCTAACTCTAGCCAGCAAATTAAAAGAAGCTGAGACCACTTCTCCCAGATTAGCTATCAAGTTCACAGACTAGATGTGGGGTCAACCCTACTTTGTTTGCTTCTGTATGAGTGTGAGTGTGTATGTGTGTGTGCGTGTGTGCGTATACATGCTCACACGTTTAGATTCTGTTTTAAAATTCAAGATTCAGGAGCTAGACGGAATTATGCTCAGTGAAATAAGACAGAAGGAAAAAGAAAAATATCGAATGGTTTCACCTACATATAGGGGAACCAAATAAGACGTCAGTGTAAAAAAATAATAACAGTACAAAACACAACAAAGCAAAAACAGACAATAATAAACCAGAGACATCCTGCAGGGGAGGAGCAGGGAGAGGGATCAGAGGGAAGGAGGAAGGAGAACAGGGGACTGAGGTGATGGTGCCCAGGTGCCTTGGTGTAGAAAACTCTATGGATACTACACCTGAGGGGGTAGGGGGAAGCAAATATTGTTTAAAAATTAACAATGACATAAAAAATTTTTAAAAATTTAAAAAAAATAAAATTTAAGATTCGTTTTTTTCATCCTACCTAATTAAAAATCTGTCTCATCCATCTTTGTCATCTTTGAAGATTTAAGCAAGCCACACTATTTCGTTGCAGCACAGTAAACCTGCTAATTTTGCTGTATTATTGGTGTTGGGTGTTGAATTCCGTAAACCCAAAGCAGGTGGAGAAACTGGCAGCTCTTCTTTTAGCAGCAGCAGCCCTCTCTGGTCAGCCCCCAAACATACCTCCCTGGGCCTTTGCAATCCAGTGTTCCTGCATGGGCCTGCCTTCCTGTTGCTTCTTTTTTCTAAAGATGGGATAAAGTTGAAGCTGTTTTGGAAAAACACATATTGGGAGTTTTACATTAAAGTCATTAAAATAAAAATAAAAAAAACATAAATATTCCCTGCCTTGCTGTTCTTGTTTATAAATAGGAAGCCATTTGAAAGAACTAATCTGAATTAAATAAGTTAAGTTCCTCGCTAATTCATCCATTTTCTTGCATAAACTATATGTCATCCTTGTTTTTTCCAGGAAGGGAGAACCCCAAGTTATTCTTGGGTCCCACTCTACAACCCATAAAGAGAAATATGACCAAGTATTTTCCATTAAAAAGGCCATCCCCTTTCCATGTTATGATCCACAGTCATTTCAAGGGGATATTCAACTCCTTCAGGTAAATGTGTTTCTTTCAATATTTATTTTGAAATAGTAAAATTTTGAAATTTTTTCAGATTGACCTGAAAGTAGTTTTACATCCTGGATCTCATAGCCAAAGTTGGCAAATGCCAGGGCATGGGAAAAGAAGAAGAGCTGGGACCCAGCACTATTGCCACAGATGTTTCCCCTCTTGGAATTCAGTTCAACAGATATTGACAAAAGCACATGTCAATCCAAAGTGGTGATAGGAGTTTGCTTAGAACTGGTGTTGTCAAGAAGTGGGATAATTCTATAACTGAGCATTTTTAATGACTCTTAGTTATTGAGGAGGTGGGAAGACTGGAGAGAAGCTAAAACTGTGATCGACAAAGAAGCAGCAGTCACTCATCTTAGCTAATAGGGGGTGTTTGGTCATTTTTGTGATGTGCACGATGACCCTGCTTGTGACTCAACTCAAACATGTCTGCAGAGCGGCCTGGGTTTTGCTCACATCCTTAGGATCACCTTGTCTGATACTGATGATCTGTGAGAGTGTTTATTTCCAACAGGAAAACTTTTGGCCCAGCTGCGTGTGCCAGGCTGGTTTTCTTTTCCTCAGAAGAAAAATAATGATCAGGTCCTCTTGAAAGACACTCGCCGTTTAGTGGGAGGAGACAAATGAATCAATTGCTCTGATCTGAGTCACTCCTCAGTGACAGATAACTGAGAAAGGGGGTCTGAGGAAGCATGTGGAGGGTCAAGGAGGTCAAGTATAGTCATCAACAGGGAATAATGGGGTGTTTTGGAAAACGTATTTGAAAGAAGTGAGAGAAAAATAAAGAGTTATCATGAGATTTGATATAAAAGGGCACCAGCCAGAGGACCATGGGCAGGCATTGCAGACCATGGCAAGAAGGTAGAACTTTATGAGAAAGTGTTTCAAGCAGAACAGTGACATGAGCAGGCTTGTTCTTAGAATGATTAAGGCAGCAGGACTGGAAGGAAGAGTGTGAACAGGATGTTCACACTAGAGCAAAGGGAGACTGATGAGGAACCTCCCCAGCAAGAGTTAAAAAAAAAATCTCAGGAGGGTCTCCCTGGTGGCACAAGGGGTTAAGCACCTCACTATGAAGCAATCTGCGAGTTCGATCCCCGGCCAGCCAGGGAGCAACCCACACAGCGCAGCAGACCTCTCCTGTCTCGCCCACTGTTCTCAGCAGTGTGTTTCAGTCAGTCTGCCTGTTTTGTTCCCCGCTCTGTCTCTGGTGAATCCTCTCACCCCCTGTATCTCTGGCCTGTGCCCCAGCTCTTGTATGCATGGATGGATAAGTCTTTAAAAAAAAAAAAAAAAGATGTGCTGGGACTTTTTAAAAATCAATTACTTGTTAATTAGGTTTGGAACATGACGTCAGCCATGTCCTTTGTAAAAACAAGCTAAATCAGCAAGAATATAATCCATTTCTGGGTGTTGCTACTGCTCTTTTGGCATAAAACTGTATGATCTCTTTTCTAGCTGTCAGGTAAAGCGAAATTGAACAAGGCTATACAAATACTTCGGCTACCAAAAAAAGGAGATGATGTCAAATCCTACACCAAGTGTCATGTAGCAGGATGGGGAAGCACCAAGAGCAAATCATGCGGATTTTCAAATACCTTGAGAGAAGTCAATCTCACTGTAATAGACCGGGGAACATGCAATAATGAACAGCACTACAATTTTAAGCCAGTTATTGACAACAGCATGATCTGTGCTGGTGGAAAAAATGGTGAAGATGATTCATGTGAGGTAAGTAAATTAAATATTTTAACCATTTGTTGGCAATAAGAAATACAGTTAAATAGAATGCACAGGAAGAACAAGGTGGACAACCTCTATTACTTCTCATGTCCAGAGCCTGCTATTTATACTGGTATGGTGCATGCACCTTTTTCTCAGGTGAAACCTTCTGTTCAAGAAACAGTCCCTTATTACTAGTGGTAATTTACAAGATACCATTTCACTGCCAAACCTCTCAAAAGTAACCATGACAGCTGGCATTTATCAGGGACCAGGAATAATATCAAGTTCTATATACTATGCTATTTACCCCTCAAGTAGCCCCATGAGATAGATATTATGAATTATCAACTCTATTTTATAGATGAGGAAAGTAAGGCATAGAAAGTTGCTCAAATTCTCCAAGTAAAATAAGCTGCATATCAGTGGGATGGACCTGGACTTGGACAGACCCCATCTGACTCCCAAACCCTGCACTGTTCTGACTCCTAATGTGCCAAGAACAGACTTGAGCAGCTTTGACTCTATTTGGAACTCATGATGCCTATGGGGTCACAAAGTCAGAATATTAAATGTGGGCTGATAAAGTCTAAAAATTGTTTGCTATTTTACAAGTGCTCCTTGGTCTGGGACAACTTCGTGTCCCTCCTCAGAGCAGGGAGTAGTTGAGATCCACCTCAAAACTTCTAGTAATCCTACATTCAGTATCTTCCCATAACATCTATTGACCTAGAATTGGGGAAACAGGTAGACTGAAGGAAACAATTATTGTTCACAGGTGAAGCCTCCTTTGTTACTCTTTCTTTGCTTTGCTGGGGAAAATGAGTTGCATATCTTCTCCAGAATTGCCTTTTTTTGAAAGGAAAATGATTGAAATTTAATCTATGTTAACTGATTCTGAGGCTGGACAATAAAAGAGATACTATCTAAAACCTATATAATGTTATAAAGCTATGTTACTTCAATAAAAAATATTAAGATATTAAATTAGCCTTTAAGTAAGAAGAGTGTGTGAGTGAATGAGTGAATGAACGAATAAGATGATGATGAATAAATATCTTTGGCAAGCATGCATATTTAAAACATAAAACCTTCTATTTCAGGGAGATTCTGGAAGTCCTCTGATATGTAACAACATTTTCAAAGGTGTCACTTCCTTTGGGGAGTGTGGAAACCGCAGGAAGCCTGGCATCTACACTCTCCTTACAAAAAGATACCTCAAGTGGATCAAGGAAACCATTGCAGGAGTCGTGTGATACCACTTCAAAGCAGCAAACTGAGGTAACCACCTGAAATGTCAAGCAAGGGAGGTTTTAATTTGACCTATCAGAAGAAGCCCCTCAGTCTAACCTTGTGTATAAGACAGCCTTTCTGAAACAAAATCAGCAAAGAAAGAAACAACTTCCTGCTAAGACTACATCCTGCGCATTCTGTCTGCCTGCAAGAGATGTCCCTTGAGAAAAAGTTCTGCTGTTCAGGAACTCTTGGCTTTATTCAGAATTTGTGCACTGACAATTTTGAGTTTGCCCTTAAAAAGAAGTCAATCCCAGGAAAATTTAGAATATCCTCTGCTCTTCAAAAGGAAGCTCAAATTATCTATAAGCCTTGAAACTTAGAGCCTGATATTCCATTCAATGTGGGAGTAAGGAGAGATATGGGGGCAGGGGAGGGAGCAGGAGTTCACTTCTTACTATGTACTGCTATTTTTATGTTTTGTAAAAATATTTGATTGTAAGACAAGAAAGAAGATTCAGTGTGTGTTTAAGAAATTTGGAGAGTTTAGAATTTAAGATTAGGGATAGCTCAGAGAGAAATTGTTAATGATGCAAGTTATGTATTCCAATCAGAGCTGTGTTTTGGTGTTTGTTGCCGTAATGTTCTTGCTAAAATCTGCACTTCCTGTCTCTTCTAACTGAAGCTGAAGGAAGTATCAAGTAAAAGCATCGCTTTTTTATCTAACAAAAACATCTGTCTAGTAGATTGAGGTTTCATGTACCAATAGCCCTCATTCCAGGCAGTATCTTGGTATGTATTTTGCCTTCCCTAATCAAAAGATACATGTCAGATACAAAGTTTAATTCTTTGTTATTCTTAATAAATTGTGATGTATAATGGAAGGGAAAGTGACTTTTTTTTACCCCCTACCATTTATATCTTATCTTTTTGTTGTGCTAGTTCTCCAAAGAGCTGATTTATAATGAACACATTCTCTAATAACCTGACTTACTTATCCAATTTAATTCCTCAAACATTTCTTGAAGACCCACGATGTCCAGGCATTATGTCTGGCACAAGTGTCATCACTGATCATGAGTGATAATCACAAATGATCACTACCTTCAAAAGTACTTAGAGTCTAGTGGAAGACAAGTAGAGATCTATAAATAAAAGGACATATACTTCAGGTTCTGAAGAATAGATGACAAAGCAGTACTGTCTCCTGTATTAAGAAGGTAACAGGAAGAAAGATAAATAATATTTTTCACCTTCAGCTGCTGTCACATGTAGCTTCCAGAGTCTTCCTCCTGAGGGGCCTCCCTGATGGCACGAGTGATTAAGACGCAACCTATGAAGCTATCTGCAGCCTCTGCCGCACAAGTTCGATCCCCGGCCAGGAAGCAGCCCACATGTCACAGCAGACCTCTCCTGACTTTCCCACTGCTCCCTTGATCAGTGTACTTCAGTCAATCTGCCTGTTCTGTTCCCCACTCTGTCTCTGGTGAATCCTCTCACTGCCCCCCCCCACACCTCTGGCTTGTACCCCAGTTCTTGTATGCATAAATATTCTTTTAAAAAAAAAAGAGTCTTCTTCCTGATATCTGTCCTGCATTTAGACAAACCTATACAAACTCTGAATCCTTGATGGAATTCTACACACCACATAACAACATGATGGAAAAATCTTTGGTCTACAGGTCAGAGCCCAGTTCCATCACTGGAGTTTAAGGCTTTGATCAGGGAATTAGTCTGTGTCTCCATTTTCACATCTATAAACTAGAAATGGTAACACAAAAGGTGTAAAGTAGATGCCCTAGAATTTGAAGGTCAGAGTTGTCCATCATCAGAGTTCACACCCCCCTAGGATGCCTGTGGTAAAAAACAAACAACTATAAGTGTTGATGATGATGTGAAGAAACTGGAGTTAAGGTCGGTTCCTCTGGCAAGACACCAATAAGTTAGCAAGGAGCATATCACTGAAAATAATATGACTTCAGCATGGAATTACATATTCCTGTCCAACCACGGAAACTTCTTCCTTTAAGTTGAAGTGCCTTGAGAAGAAAGTGGATGTTTCCTGCACAAATTAAAAAAAAAAGCCACTTATTCTGTCAGAAAATAGTGTAATAAATCTGATTTCCATTTTGGACATTAGTATTCTCTGAATTTGGATACATGTTAGGTCTCCAGATTTTCAGCAAGGAGCACACTGCTACATCAGGTCTCAGGAGTCCCTCTGACCTGCTCAAAGACATGCTCTAGCAAATTTTGCAATCCCATCATGTCTTCAATGTCTTCCATCCCCATAAACATATAAACATGGTTTATCCTGCCCCCTCTTAAAAAAGAAAATAAGACTTCCTGTTTAGGCATTTCCCCAGGTCTTTTCTTTATTTTACATCACAGCTCCTCAGGTGAGAAGTCTATGCTGCAATTTTTCCCCTTATATTCTCTTTTAACTCCAATATGGCTCTTTCCCCATACTCTACAGAATAGCAATTTTCAGAAAATAAATAAATATGTACTAGCAATGATTTAGACATAGGAACTTGTAATTACTTTGTTGATGGGAATGAAAAGTGAAAAGGCCACTTTGGAAAGCAATTTAGAAGTTCATCAAAATGGTAATCACAGAGTTTCCATAGAGTTTCCAGTAACCACATTTCTAGCTAAATGTCCAAGAAAAATGAAAACATGTCCACACACAAAAAATGAACATTAATGTTAACAGTGGCATTGCTCACAATATATAAAATGTAGAAACAGTCCCGGTGTCTGTTAAATGATGAAAGGCTAAATAAAAACTTGGTGTATGCATATGATGAAATATTAAATAGCAACAAAAAGGGATAAAATACTGATAAGCTCTAATATGAAACAACCTCAAAAACATTAGCTAATTGAAAGAAGTCAGTCATAACAGATTATATATTGTATACTTCCATTTATATGAAATGTACAGAATAGACAAATCTCTGGAAACAGAAAATAGATTAGTAGTTGTCTAAAACAGGAAAACAGGGGAAAGAGGTCAATGGAGAGTGACTGCTAATGGGTACAAGGCTTCTTTGGAAATGATAACAATGAATTAATGATGATGATGATGCCCAATTTTATAGATATACTAAAAACCTAAAGCTCAACTTTTAATTTTTTAAAGCTTTATTTATGCATACAAGAGCTGGGGTACAGGCCAGAGGTATGGGGGATAAGAGGATTCACCGGAGACAGAGTGGTGAGCAGGACAGGCAGACTGACTGAAATACACTTCTGAGGCGAGCAGTGGGGGAGACAGGAGAGATCTGCTGCACCATGTGGGTAGCTCCCTGGCTCGCCGGGGGATCAAACTCAAGCTGCAGAAGCTGCGGGTTTCTTCATAGTACAGTGCTCAACCCCTTGTGCCACCAGTGAGTCTCCTAAAGCTCAACTTTTAAATTAGAAAAAAAGGGGGGCCTCATCAGTGGCGCAGCGGGTTGAGCGCAGCACTATGAAGCTGTCCACAGCCTCTGCAGTGCAGGTTCGATCTCCGGCCATCCAGGGAGATTCCCTCATGACGCAGCAGACCTCTACTGGCGCGCCCACTGCTCCCCTCAGCAGTGTTTTTCATCAGTCTGCCTGTTCTGCTCTCCTCTCTGTCTCTGGTAAATTCTCTCTCCCTCCCATGCCTCTGGCCTGTACCCCAGTGCTTGTATAAATAAATGCATAAATAAATTTTTTTATGAAATAAATTTTTTATTTATGTATTTATTTATACAAGCACTGGCTACAGTCAGAAGCACGGGAGGGTGAGAGAATTCACCAAAACCAAAGCGGGGAACAGAACAGGCAGACTGACTAAATACACTGCTGAGGGGAGCAGCGGGCATGGCAGGAGAGGTCTGTGCACCATGTGGGACCCTCGCAGGTGGCTAGGGATGAACCGGCACTGCAGAGACTGCAGGCACCTTCGGAGTCCAACACTCAACCACCAAGGGAGGCCCATAAATACATAAATGAAGCTTTAAAAAAAAAGAAAACCACATCCTTTGTACACTCAGTATATAGACTCAGTCAAGAACTGAAAACAGGTTTCCTCCTTGATGTGGGGACACCTGCCACGATGAGAAACTCCTGCACAGTTCTGGCATTCTCTCTCTGGGCTGCCATTTTTCTCCTGCTAATTCCAGAAGGTAAGAAATGATGCTCGTCATTTCTCTTATAACCATGGAGCAAACAGCAGACTTTCAATGGCCTTTTAGCAATGTTAGCTAAGTGTGTTAAGATGAGATTTCTTCCCCCAAGTCTTTCTTGGATTACATATATATACATATATATATACCTTTATTTCAAAGGAAAAACATCCTTCTTTTTCCTTTATCATATCTTTATAAAAGATAACAGAACCACCAGTGAATATGTTGTCAATCGGTAGGTTAAAAACTGCCAGAAAGGAAAAACAAACAAATAAACAAACAGTTATTAAGATAGGAGAACAAATAGTGTCTTTCAAGAAAGGAAGAGTGGTGCCTCAGTGCTACTTGCTACAGCAACACTTGATGCTTTAACCCAACACTTTTGCTTATCAGAATAATCTGGAGGACTTTTTAAAAAAATACTGCCATCCCACATCCTGTCCTGGAAATTTCAATTTTTTTGTTTCTGGATGGAAACCAAGAATTGTTAGTTTTTAATGTCTAAACCTTGACCCCTGACCCCTCTAAGAGTGGTTGATTGGAGGAATTATGGACTTTTTTCTCTGAGGCTGGTATATGTATATAGTCATTCACAGAACACTTTGCAAAAAAATATTCTATTGAGTATCATTTCTGTAGCCCAGATCATGTAAAGCTGCACCTTTAGAGTCTATCTTATATATATACTTCTTCCCAGGAAAAAAATATGATGTGTGTAACATTCTCTTAATTTACCTAATTTTTCACCCTTTTATTTCTAGAGTTTAGAATTCCCTCCTCTCAATCTCCCAGTGAAAATTAGAACCTCTATGGCCACTCTCCTCCCCTTCCACTCACCTTCAGCAGTTTATGAAAGGCTTCTGTATCATTTATACCATCTTATAAATTTGTGAATTGGCTTTAATAACGGTAGCAGGACTGAGCCCTATTTAAGGTACCCTGAGTCTCAGCCAATGTACAGGAAAAATATTTCAGGAGGATCCAAGAACATCTGGTGCAGGAAAGGTAGAAACTGAGAGCATATCCAAAAGCTCAAGATCCTCTCAGCCAGCATGGATGGTGTGCCAGCGTTAGATCTCATTACTCTCTAACTGTGAATCTATACTCTTGGTCTAGCATAGAAAATATGACTCCTCATAGTGAGTCAAATGGCTCCTTCTTCCCCTACCTCATCAGAGAAGACTTTTTATTAAACTAGGGTACTGGGCCTGGAGAAAAACCAAAGAATTCATGGGTAGGATTACAGCTAAAAGGAGTAATAACAGTTTTTAAACTGTGTTTTTATTGTAGAAGGACCTGGGGTGAAAACAGCAGCTCAGGCATCTAAAAGTGCCTCTGCTTTCCCAGATGATTAGACTACTAGAAATGGGTGGGAAGATACCCTAGAGTGTCATCATCACAAGCATCCCCTGTAGCAATTGTTGCTGGTGTAGAGCAATGCACAGCTCTCTGCTCTTTGCAAGACTTGAAGCTTGTCATTGGTTTCCAGCCTGATAATCCCTGGAACTGCCAATTCACAGCATCTGTGAGTGGAAGAGCAGAGCCTTCTCAGACAATGCAACAGGAGTGGGATTTACATTCAGATAGCTAAACATCTTGGTGGAGAGGAGGGATCAGAAGTGTCCTGATCAATGCTTCCTTTCTAATCTGGAAAAGTATGTCTGGCCTTAGAAACATGGCTTTAATGGAGCTCTATGGGGCAGGCACTGAGAGGATTTGCCTTTTTCTTTTTAACAGATTTCTGTGAAAAAATCATTGGAGGACATGATGTGCAACCTCATTCAAGACCCTACATGGTTCTACTTCAAACAAAAAATAGTCTTTGTGCTGGGGCTTTGATTAAAGAGGACTGGGTATTGACTGCGGCTCACTGTGTCCTGTAAGTGTTTGAATTTGAAAACATTTTTGAGACATTCTATTTTGGGGGAATAGTAACAAAAAGTAGATCCCTGTAAAGTCACAGGAAGCTCATGTATCTTCACATCACTGAAGTCTTTGGAAACCTGCTATATACCAGCAGGGTAATCACAGGCTTGGCCCCAGTAAATCAGACCAATCAGACCACAATGAGCCTCCACCAGTTCTTCCTGTGTCTTCCAGAGCCACCTGATTCAGGTGCTGAAAGGTTTTGTTTCTGGTCCTGACTCTTGACTGGGAAGAAGTGGCCACAGAGGCAGAAAACTTTCCTTGTCCCTCAGGTGCCTGTGCACAACTGTCAGGGAGCAAAACTTGATTCATATGCCTTTCCATTTCCCTGAGTAAACACCTCTCACACCTTCAGGCCTGTCTTAACCCCAATCAACCACTATCTTCAACTCCTCCCAAGCCTGGTCTTTCCTCTACTCCCTAAATCAAGCCTCCAAACCTGGACTGTTACCATGACAGCCACTATCACACTGGCTATGTAAACTCACACATTACTATATAAACTTAGAGTTAAATGAAACTACCAATTTAGTTGCTAGTCACACTTGTCACACTAGATATACGTGTCTAGTGACTTCCAGATAAGACAATATGGATTTTTGGAACATTTCATCATGAAAATGTGCTCTGCTACAGGCACTGTTCTACCATCTAAAGTGAAACTAACATCCACTGGTGTAATGGAAAATAGTGGTGTGAATAGCTGGTTTGTGTGGTTTATACGAGATTGTGAATGATGAAGTCTTAATCAATTATACATCAGAGAGTATTTGCATTTTATTAAACAAAATAAATATTTAGCATGTAATAAAAAAAAGGAAAGCACCCTGGACCCCTTCTTCAAGTCACCATGCCCCCAATATCCACACACTCAAGGCCATGCAAATTTTGGGAATCTATTTCTAAAAGTTTTTCTATTTAAGTTAAGCTGGCTATTCTCTTACAAAGATCCCTTCAGTACTTTACAATATCAAGTGCCTTTTGCTTTTGTCTCTAGCCCATTGAAATCTTTGTTTTGCTGTAATCTATAACCTGATTCTCTATCAGAGGTAATGGAAGCTTAGGTATACACCACCGTAATCCTAACAGACTTGCTTAGGTATCTTGGAATTCTCTTATTTATTTTTCAATGTACCCAGTTCAGCTTGTTACAAATAAGCAGGTGATGATGATGACCATGAAGATGATGATGATGATAAATTCATAAACATATCACTTTTTATTCTCTAAAGGACTTGCATAGTAGCCATATTTACATATGGGACAGTAAAACTAATCTGTACATAACATGCTCAGCTCCTGTTTATAACAGTAAATACAGTTAATAGTGTTGTGACTTTTCAGGAACAAGAAGTCCCAGATCATTCTTGGGGTTCATTCAAGAACCAAGAGTAAGACAGAAACACAGACAATGTCCCTTAAGAAAGAGTTTCCCTATCCATGCTATGATCCAGAAACATATGAGAATGATCTTCAACTTGTACAGGTACGTACCTTTGTCTGTCTTCTTCAAATTCAGAGAAGCTAGTACAATCTGACACTGAAATCTTTCCTCAGTTGCCCCTGTCATAAAGACTGTAGTTATGTAGGGAGACACTGAGGGTTGAACTAAAATTTAAGCAAATATGTGAATATTTTAATTCTCTCATTCAGTTAACTTTTCATTCTTATCTTCCAACAGCTGAGCAAAAAGGCAACAATTAATAAAAACGTGGCTATCCTTTCTTTACCTAGAAAGGAGGAGGATGTGAAACCAAATAGCACGTGTCGAGTTGCAGGCTGGGGGAAGGTTGGTAACAAAGGGTCTTCATCAGACACTCTGAAAGAAGTCAATGTCACCGTCATTGACAGAAAAACCTGCAATGGAAAAAAATACTATAATTATAATCCTGTGATTGGACTGAATATGATTTGTGCTGGAAACATCAAGGGTGGAAAGGACTCATGTGACGTAAGTACAATAAGATCTCATGTTTTAGCTGTTGGATTAAGTCATGCAGACATAAAAAATGTAATATCACACTTTGTCATGGCATGTCTTCCATAGAGTTCTAATGCTTTGTGGAAAGAGTTTGATAAAAGCCCAGTGAAATAAATTCATAGTCTCAGCTCAAGTAAGTTCATAAAAAAATAACAAGTTTGCTTCTAGTGCTATGGCTTGTTTTATATCAAAGACTACTTAGAAGTAATTTTTCTCATTTTCCCATATTGATATATGGAAATCAAAACTTACAGATATGTAGCACTTAAAAGGGCTGACGTCAGGGTCCCCTAGAGTCTTCAGTAACCTTTCCCATCTCAGCACCTCGCAACTATCCTTCTGCCATGTGACGGGGCAATTGCTTGTCATTCCCAGGTACTGGATTAGACCCCATCACTTTGTAGAGCCACATTCAATCCCAGGAGACAACTTCCAAGCATGGCCCATGCCAGAGAAGGTGCACACCCTCACACCCGAGCCCTCTGAGAAGGGAGGGCCGGACCCTACTTAAGATGAGAGTAGAAGAAACACTCCCCATGTCTAAGCTCTGAGTATTGGCTTTGATCCCTCCTCAAAAACTCCTCAGAGCCTCCTCTGAAAAGATATGCAGTGTGCACAGATTCAGGCTCACCAGAGATTTAGGGACCAGAGGCCTCTGCCCTCCGCAGGAGCTTGCCTATGAACTTTGGTGAATTTTAATGACTCTTTTCAGTAGGAAGGACAGACAAATCCAGGACAAGATGGCATTTGTCTTTGTACTGCTCTAGTTTTTTCTCTTTTGCCCTCCCTCACCCTTCCCTCCCCTCATCCACTACTCTGAGTGATGGGGTTCAGATGATGGGTTCAGTGAATGAGGTTCCTGGGTTACCCCTGAGAAAAGTTTCAGCAGAATTTCCCACTCGGCAGCACACAGCAAGTTTTACTAAGGACAAAGACATAGACACAAACAGGCAAAGGCCGCATTTTTTTTTTTGGGGGGGGGGTGGAAGCTGCATTTTAAAAAGATAAGTTTATCAGGAAAAAAGAGAAAGGAGGAGAGAGGGAAAGAGGTGCCTGCATAGACACAAGTGGGTGGAGAGCTGCATTTGAAAGAGGAAGGTTTGTTAAAGAGATGGCTGTGTAGGCACAGGCAGGCAGTCTTAGGACAAGACCTGCATTTTGCCAAGGCAGGAGATGTTCTTACATAGTGTTCTTTGGGAGGGGAGAGGTGGGAGGCAGGGAGAATTTGTTCCTTTGTGGAATTTCATCTATCACTTCTAATGTCTGGTTGGGTTAATCTGAAATAACTGTTGTTCCTTTGTATGACTAACAAGACTCCATATCCACACCTCTGGTCTGTGCCTTTAGATTTCCATAGCCAGTTTAGAGACTCTTTAATCATCTCTACCCCCACCTCTAGTTTTGTTCCTTGTGAAGCTTCCATCACACATTTTCTACTCTGAGCTCCCATCGTGAGCATCCAAGGACCCCGACACTCAGGCCTTTGCAGCCCACACACAGCATCCCGAGGCCTGCACAGCATGCCAAGATGTCTGTCCTCTCCCCACCAGCCTCCCTTGCCATCCAAACCTAGCTGTCCTGCCCATTCTCTCAACGCCCAAGACTCCTCTGAATTGGCTCTTGATGAAATTAGACCTAAGGACTGATTCTGAGAGTGTCAGGCACTGTATTAGACAAGGGAAAGAAATACACCTGTCTGAGTGGACCAGGGTTCTCACATGGCTCTTGAGATCATACACATATAAGGCCAACTTTTGCCTGCAAAGGGAGCGTCCCACAGCCCTCACATCACCAGGAAGGGGGTAAATGGGCAGATTTACACTGCACAGCTCTGCACACAGGCCTCAGCGGCCCTCCATCCAGCTCCACCCGCCTTCCCCAAAGCAGGGGCACTGAGGGACCAAGCCAGACTCGAGTTCTCACATACAGTTAGAGATGCAATTCTAGAGTTCTTTGACAGAATACGCGGTCACACATGAGGTGGCACGGTCTGGTAGAAAAAGGCAGCAACTTACAGATAACTGAAGCTTATCTGCTCTGGAGTCAGCTCTGATGTGTAATCACTGATTTCTGGGTGTTTCCACCCAGCATGAGCTGGGAGGGGTGCTGTGCGTTGGAGATGGTGAAAGCAGTTTGCATTGGTCTTGGGTCTTTGGGCAGATAATTATATGCTGGAAATGCTTGAAAATATGGTTTTTACTCTTTGCCTTTTGCCCTATCTGCATCTGACCATTTTACCCTTTGAGTTCTAAGTAGTCTGAAAAATGACAAACAGGCAGGTTTTCTTTCTAAAATAGAGGATCAACCTCAAAATCAGTTTATAAGGTAAACAGTACATATTTTATTTCCATTTTCACTGGTTTGATAATGCATAAAGGAAGCTAATATTTAAATATCCCCAAGCATTTTAGTTTTTTAAGCAGTGATTTTCAATTAGTCAAGTTGTCTATTAAGTTTCAACTAAGTTTTAACTTCACATTTAATGAAATTTCTGCCATCCTGCTAATGGTCATGTTCCATGCTAATTCCCCATCACCCCTCTTGTGTTTCCCCAGGGAGACTCTGGCAGTCCTTTGATATGTAACAATAGTCTCACAGGCATCACTTCCTTTGGCCGCAAAGGGAAATGTGGAGATCCTCGCTTCCCTGGCATCTATACTCGTCTCGCAAAGAAGCACATCAACTGGATAAAAAAGACTATGAACGGAGCAGTTTAGAATTGTATTTCATTTCATTTACTGTTACTTTTTGATCTTATATATGAAATCAATTTGCGTGACTGTGCCTGTTTCTTTACTCTCACTGTAATGGGGGCAGGTCTCCACCAGCAACATGGGGCAGAGTCATACAGTCACCTGGAGGATAATGCAAGGGAGCGATTAGGGGAACAATGTCATGGTGTCATTCAGGAGTTATGTAACTAACAGTGTTACTTATCTCGAGGAATCCCAGCAGGAAAGATCAGGTGTCTAGTAACAAACACAGTAAGAACTCAGCATTTCTGCAAGAACCACAAACCACCAGTCTAGAGCATGCAATTTAAAGAAAATGAGTTGACCCTTCCAAAGCCATTGTTCTACATCAACACCTGCTATTCATACTTAACATGCAAGACCCTGAGTCTGTGTGAAATACAGGGACAGGAAATCCTTGCAGCAATTTCTAAAGGCAAGAGAAAAGTAGACATTAAAATTTAAGGGCCTATAAAGGATGCACGTGATGAGACAAGAAAATGATGCCCCAGAAAGTCAACCTCCCTTCTCAGCCATTCTCATTTAAACCCTGGATTATCTGTGGATGGCGTGGGCAGAGGTCGCTGTAGTCACTGATGCTGAGAGTGGCGCTTGTGGACCCTGCAGTATGTTCCACACTACTCAAGACTGCACTTAATGGTGCCTCGAAGTCTTGGGTCAGTAGGATATGATCCTAATGAAAAGTGTTGACACCACTTGGGAGACTTGCCCTTCACTTTGTTGGACTTGAAATTCTGCCTTTAGGGATCTTTGCTGTCTTGTAGCCATTCGTTACATGGATTCTTATCTGAACTTGCCTCTACAGTGACTCCATCAAGTCAAAATTAAACCAGGTATCCACAGCCACTGCAGCATGAGTTCGATCCCTGGCCAGGCCAGGTAGTAACCCACATGGCACAGTAGACCTCTCCTGACTCACCTGCTGCTCCCCTCATCAGTGTACTTTGGTCAATCTGCCTGTTCTGTTCCCCACTGTCTCTGGTGAATCCTCTCACCCCCCCTCCACCTCTGGCTTGTACCCCAGCTCTTGTATACATAAGTAAATAAATCTTTAAAAAAAATAAAAATAATAATAATAAAAAAAAACCCTGGATTATCTGCCTGTTTTCCTGGTTCTCCTTGTCGCTGAGCCTGGGCAGCCAACAAGGTTAGAGTGGCTTCTATGCCATACTAGGAAGTGGGTGTTGAATTGTGGCCTGAAAGCTTATTTTGAAAAAAGTCCTGTGAGGAAGAGGGGTGATTTTACCTTACCTTATACGTTCTTCTAGAATGACAAATAATTAATTTTAAGATCAGACAGATAGGGCCTCCCCGGTGGCGCAGGGGTTGAGCGCTGGGCTGCGAAGCTACCCGCAACCTCTGCAGCACCGGTTCAATCCCTGGCCACCGGTGAGAGTCCCACATGGCGTGCAGACCTCTCCTGCCATGCCTGCTGCTCCCCTCAGCAGTGTACTTCGGTCCTTCTGCCTGTTCTGTTCCCTGCTCTGGCTCTGGTGAATTCTCTCACCCTCCCGCGGTTCTGACTGTACCCAATGCTTGTATAAATAAATAAATAAATCTTAAAAAAAAAAAAAGATCAGACAGACAAAAGAAAAAAAATTAATTTAATAATAATATGTGTACCTCCTGAATTCTCAGAAAAACCCCACAGAACTTAAAGTTCCTGCTTAACTCAGAATTTCTAAATGTATCTGCCCACATGACCTGTGTTTATACAGCATCTGTTCTCTAAACTCTTTTGGGAATTTTTTTTTTAAGATTGATTTATTTATTTATGAATACAAGAACTGGGGCACCAGCCAGAGGTGCAGGTGGTGAGAGGACTCACCAGAGACAGAGTGGGGAACAGAACAGGCAGACTGACTGAAATACACTGCTGAGGAGAGCAGTGGGCGAGACAGGAGAGGTCTGTTGTGCTGTGTGGGTTGCTCCCTGGCCTGCCAGGGATCGAACTCGTACTGCAGAGTCTGCAGATTGCTTCATAGTGAGGTGCTTAACCCCTTGTGCCCAGAGAGGCCCTTGGGAAATATAGAGAAAAGAAACTACTGGATTAAAGGCAAAAACTGGTTCCTGAGAACTCAAAAGTAACTGCAATTCTAACCTTGTTGGTAGAGGAAAATGACTATTACCTTTCCTGTGGTAAGCTGGAGAACAGAACATGGATCCAAGCAGATTTTAGAAGTTCAAAAATGGAAATTGGAAAAGAATCTGGTGTCAATATTCACAGCCTAATAAGCAATAATTCTTATCACTTGTGCTCAAATACTAACTTAGAGGCATTTAGAGAACTTCAAATTTTCATCATCCATTATTGGTACACATGAATTTCATCTAACAGATCACTAAAATTAATAGCACATAATTTTTATGGGGACATTCTCAGACTTAGGATATCCATGTGGAAGAGTCTACCATCATTTTGAACCAAAACAGTCACCAATTACAGTATATTGAGAAAGGATGGTCAATGACTTACTTATGATACCTAAAAATACTCACCAATATTCTTTAGCTAACACTGTAAGAACTCTTTGACTGGTAAGAGAAACCACATTTGTATGACTGCATATTAAATGCACCCTATCTTCTTTCTTATAAAAACTCCTGTCCTGATTGACACATATCAGCACAGCATTATGAAGACACAGTGGCATTACAGGGGTCTAAGCTCCCTACAACTCATTTCTCTCACTGATGACAAACTATAGATTTTGAACAAAGTATAAAAAAAAACACATGTGAACTCTGGAAAATAAGCAAAATCTGATAAAATAAGCATGGGAATCAAAACTTGAAGAATCACTGAATGTAACTAAAACTAGTTGTGGTGATACTTCACAATGTATATATTATAGTTACATTGAACTCCTGAAGCCAATATAATGTGATATCAATTATACCTCAATAAAATTTTTCTTTATAAAATACTTGGAGAAACAAGCAGCTGAGTTTTGCTCTGAGGGTAGAACCTTGTCTTGGAGTAGCACTGTTACAGAGCAACCCCAATATGAAACGGGTTGCGTGACTGTGGGCCCTCACCCACACACTTAAAAGGGACTTATTAATGCTAAATTGTAGGTACAAACAACAGGTTAATATAAGGTTTATTTACAAAGGAAGGGGAAATGAAGAAATGAATAACACAGGGAGATAAATTCGTAAATGCATCCTGCCCATTCCGCTAATCTGGAACCCCAATGACCTGACAAGAGCTGGTGTAAAGCCAGGCCCAAGGGACCACAAAGGCCAATCCCAGCTCACATGGCTGGTTATATACCCACAGAAAAAGCATGACTGCTCAACTCTGCCCCCAGGTCCTCACAACCCTCCCTTTGGTGATCATGGGATTTTTAGTTCTCAGTGGCCAATCAAGTGGGGGTGGAGTCCACAAAGCCTGTATGGAGTTTGCTCAGGACATCCTTTCCCCCTAACAGCACCAGCAATGAAAGTCTTATAGATCCGAAAGATGTCCTGAAGAAGGCATCTTCCTGGTTAGAGGAACCAGGAAAAGGTGGCCGAGGTGGTCAAAGTTCAAGAGTAAAGAAAGCCAGAGAAAGCTATCATCTGTTGTGAGTGTATGAACCCTCACACATCTCAGCCTGATTCCTAAATCATGTAAGCAGGGTATGAAATCAGCTTAGCAAAGACTGCGAATTGAACTGAGATTTGAAACAGCAATATAATTCCAACCTAGACTATGGTCCAAATATATCATTAATTGACTAATATCCTACCTCTATTAACATCACTGAAATGTTCTGTCTTCTCTCTAACCCTTATAAGTCCCACCCTTACAGAGCTGTCTGAACAGCTCTATGAAGTCTCTCTGGACAATTCCAAAGCTAATTGAGCTCCTTATTGTCCTATAGTTCCTTAGAGCCCAGAATTTATTATTGAAATTATATATTGGCAAAATGGTGGTTCCATGTGGGAGAGTACTGTCTTCCCTACTAGATTATAGACAAATAGCAAGATGACCTGATGTGATAGTTTTAGTGATTCGATTTACAGATGTTTCGATTCTGCCTACGAACATGCCATCATTTTGTACACATAATTCTTACACAGTAAAACAAAATGTATATTCCTCACATCCCACCAGCAACAGTACCTAACACGAAAAGTGCACACAAGAAAAACAACTATAGTAACCACTTGGGTGGTTCACCATTTGAAGAGAAAACACAAGACATATTGGTTTTCCCAGAATCAAATTTCAAGTTGAGTACAGAAAGCGTTTTGTCATTCAGTTTTCGATTCACAATCTAAACAATAACTTAGTCATTTTGAAGCCCAATAAGACGAATCTTCACATCTGGTTGGAGTATGGAGTAGCTTATATCACTGCACCTTTTAAGATGGAAGGATTCATCTCTGCCTCATCTTTACAACCTATAAGAAATAAACAGCTCTTGGGTCTCCCTGGTGGCGCAAGGGGTTAAGCACTGCACTATGAAGCAATCCACAGCCTCTGCAGTGCAGGTTCGATCCCCGGCCAGCCAGGGAGAAACCCACATGCCTGTTCTGTTTCCCACTCTGTCTCTGGTGAATCCTCTCACCCCCTGAATCTCTGGCCTGAACCCCCTCTCTTGTATGCAAAAATAAATAAATAAATCTTTAAAAAAAAATGAACAGCTCTATAGATCGCTATGATCCTGAAAACATAATTTCTACTTGTAGGCATTAAGAGAACATGGAGTGTGGGCCTCCCGTGGTGGTGCAGCGGTTGAGCGCTGGGCTGAGGGGCTGCCCGCATCCTCTGCAGCACCAGCTCGTTCCCCAGCCGCCGGTGAGGGTCCCACAAAAAAAAAAAAAAAAAGAGAACATGAAGTGAAAAGGGAAGCAGTCATTGGGATAAAACTGAAATATAAGTTGCAGAAGGAAGGAAGGGAAAAATGAAGATGTAAGTATAAAACAAATATATTTTTATATTTATAAAAATACAAATGGCATTTTCCAATAAAAAGCAATTCAGTGTCAGGCCAAAATGTAGATGACAAATTGTGGGAGCTCATGGCAATGCTGCTATATCATGTTTTGAATATTTATGATCATTTGAGATTTTCAAATTAAAGTAATTTGTGCATAACAATATACCTATCAATTCAGCAATTAAGATAAATTTAACCCCTATTTAATCTTTGTCAATAAATATTTGTTGATTCATTGATTCTGTTTCTCTCACTCTTTCTACACCAGAGACACAGAGGCACTTTTTCCTTGTCTTACCCATGACTATCTCAGGTCAAGGTTATAGATTGAGCTTGGCTTTAATTCTCATCAAAAGACCCCAATAAGTCTAAACCACAAGCCGCTGTCTTTTCATCTCTCTAACCACTCTGCTTCTAATCAACTGAAAATGACATGATCAACAGGAAGGGAGCCCACCCAAAGGACTAGTGTGGTCTCTGTGACCAGATGGCTCTAAAAAGAGCACGCTAGGGCCTCCCGGGTGGCGCAGCGGGTTGATCGCTGCACTGTGAAGCTGTCCGCACCCTCTGCAGCGCGGGTTCGATCCCTGGCCAGCCAGGGAGAAATCCACATGGCGAGACAGACCTCTCCTGTCTTGCCCACTGCTCCCCTCAGCAGTGTCTTCCGTCTGATTGCCTGTTCTGCTCCCTGCTCTCTCTGGTGAATTCTCTCACCCTCCCCTGACTCTGACCTGTACCCCAGTTCTTGTATAAATACATAAATCTTTAAAAAAAAAAAAAAAAAACAAAAACCTCCATCTTTAAAAAAAAAAAAGCACGCTAGCATCACAGTCTACAGCAAGTAGTCAGGTTGTCACTCAGGGCCTCAGTGTTGGCAGTGAAAACCTGCAGTTGTGGCAGAACTGAAAAGTAACTAAAAATACTCCAGCGCTGCTAATAAAGAAACAGTAATAGTATTTAAAAAATCAATACCTAAAGAATAAAAAAAAGATCCAGGAAATAATGAGTCATTATTACAAGGTAACAGGATCCAAGATTAATATATGAAAGTCAATTGCTTTCTTATATATACAGCAATAAATAACTGGAATAGAAAACTAAAA